TTACCATACCCTACTGCTCTCTGGCAAGGCTTGAGCTATAGGCCTCTCACTCTTGGGTTTGGAGCTTTGAGCCTCTGGATCTGTCTTGGGCACTTACTGAAGGAGCTTCTCTTTGCCTGTTCACAGATTCTATCTGGACAAAACAGCCAGTTGGTAACAAAGGGGTTAATTCTTCTGTCCAAGGAGGGTCATGAAGATGTCGAAGTCCAAGCCATTTGAACCTTAACGGCTACCCTCTACAGCTCTTGGGAAGCCTTTTTTGGTGAAGCCCTTGCTAGAAGCCAGTCACTGCAATGGGCTCTTCTCCACTCTGGACATCTATCCCTAGGACTTCTTCCTCTGAAAGGCTCTCTGTTCACCTGCCAGTCCTCTGCTTAGAGATCCATAACCTGTGTGTCCCAAGAATCTCATCTGACCCAGATAAGGATCCCTGTGAGCATCCCTGTGAGCCAAGCTACCATTCCACTGGAATACACCTCCACAGCTGTGCCAATGGCTAAAATATGGCTACTCATTGTTCATCAGGTAAAGAGCCAACCCCAGCAGGGATGTTCTAGAAACGCTCTTGGCACAACTCTTGAATCCTTAAGGCTAGTCTGTACCCATCCCCATCCTGCTCCCCAGGCTAAGAAGCCCTAGCAAGCCCTAACAGAAACTGTCCCAGTGCTCACTAGTTCACAGGTTCACCATCAACACCAGCACCATTACCCTTCATGCCCCCCTAGTTCCTGTTCCCACAGAAATACCTGGACATCCACAGTCAAGTACCTAGTGTTGTTGTGGGATATTTGATCATGCTGTGTGAAGATACGTCTCTGTTTTACCTCACCTGCCCAAGGCACCTTCTGGTTGGTTTAATAGAAAGCTGAATGGCCAATAGCTAGGCAGGAGAGGATAGGTGGGACTTCTGGCAGAGAGAGAGGAGCTTGGGGGAAGAATCTGAGAGGAGGGGATTCACCAGCTAAATGCGTAGGAAGCCAGCTGTATAGTACTGAGGAGAGAGGTAACGAGCCATGTGGCAGAACAGATTAATATAAACAGGTTAATTGAAGCTTTAAGAGCTAGTTGGGAACAAGCCTAAGCTAAGGCCAAGCTTTCATAATTAATAAAGTCTCTGTGTCATTATTCAGGAGCTGGCAGTCCAAAGAAAGACCCTGTCATATAGTGTGTTGGTTTGGACCCCTTGTTTAAGGCTCCCCTAGAGTTCCTGTATGGTAGCCTCTGAGGCCTTTGGCTCTCAGGGAACAGTGGTAAGGTGGGAAGGGCAAGCCAGGGAGTGCTCATGGGGCTACCACAGAAGCCTGATGAAACTGCCCTTCAGTTAGCAGGCAGACATTCCAGTAAATGGGAGGTCAACAAAGCTTTGTCAACAAGTCTCCTGAACAAACTTATGACGCTCACCCCAGAGCTAGGTGTGGGGGCATATGCCTCTGATCTTAGAACTTGGGATGTGGAGGAATATTTGGAGTTCAGGGTTGTCTTTACCTACTTAGTGAGTTCAAGTACAGCCTGGGCTACATAAGACTCTCTCTCTCTCTCTCTCTCTCTCTCTCTCTCTCTCCTCTCTCTCTCTCTCTCTCTCTAGTTTTTTTTTTTTTTTTCTGGAGCTGAGGACCAAACTCAGGGCCTTGTGCTTGCTAGGCAAGCACTCTACCACTGAGCTAAATCCCCAACCCTGAGACACTCTCAAAACAAAAGAAAATAACCACAACAAAATCCCTCACCACTAAAATCCACTGGCCATGGACATTATTTGCTTTCTGTTTAAAATGAGAATTATCACTCTGCAGGAATTGTGTACACTGTTAACAATCTGTAAATTTATGTAAATACTGTAATGAGGGGCTCCAGGGGTTAAGAGCCCTTGTTGCTCTTGCAGAGGACCCAGCTTGATTCCCGAGCACCAACATGGTGGTTCATAACTGTCTAGTTTCAGGAGAGCTGATGTATTCTTCTAACCTCTGCAGGCACCAGGCCCATATGTGGTGCACAGACATCCATGCAAGCAAAACACTCATACACATAAAATACATTTTTAAAATGCTGCAATGACCACCTCACCCCAATATAGAGATGAGCCAATAAAAGTACAGAGGAATTATTTAAAATATTAGTGTCTAAATCAGGATCTTAGTGCAGGGAAACAGAGTCCTAGAGGCCACATTATACAACACCATTTATTATAACATGCTACCAAAATGGTTTAGACTTAGCTGGGAACAGAGATGCTTAACTGTACAGAAAGAGCTGGAAACCTATGAGTATAGTAGTTATTGGTTCAGCAAAAGCAGAGAGGATTCATCCCCAGGGAAAGATCACTGATGTCAAGGAGAAAGACTCAAGTCAGACATGGTGGTGTGTCCCTTCGGTCCCAGGTAGGGACTCAAGAAGGCAAAAGGATTGCTTGAACCAAGACCAAAGAGTTTGAGGCTAGCCTGGTGGAGAGAGCAGGTTTCCCATTGCACATGGCAGGCTAGCTGACTTAGGTGAGTCTGGGAGTCTCCTGTCTCTCCATCTCAGGAGCACTGGGTTTACAGAATGTGCTATTGCACTCAGCTTCACATGGATTCTGGGGATTCAAACTCAGGTTCTTACACTTGCATGGCCAGTATTTCACCCTCTTTCGCCTTTTAATGAGCATGGGGTCCAGAACAAAGAAAGACCCAGAGAAATCTCCTGCATGGATTGATCAGAGTCCTGTGAAATTTTGCAATGGTAAGCTGAATTGTTTGTTGGAGGTTTTGACCTTCCTCCTCTCCTGGGACATAAAGCTGCATACCTGAGAACTTAAGGGCACTCCTCTTAGAGGGTGACCAGACTGGGAAACCATCTAGAGCAGGCCTGTATGGCTTTGCTGTGGCAAGAACAAGGTGCCGAGAGCCACGAAGCTTGCAGCCATGAGCCTAGAGATAGATGACCTCTTCTAAACCCCTCCTCTCCACCAGCCAACCAGACACATATCCCAGTGGGTGCCCAGCTGGTAGCTGCATACCCCAATGCCTACATGCACACCAACCAGGTGTCAGACCCTACACGGAATCAGCTGTTCCAAATTATCAGACATTTTACATGTCTGGCAAACACTCAGACCAACCCCAGCCATACATGTCAGCCGTACATGTACACACTCCAGACAATAACACAGAATATACTGTTGTGTAAGAGACTTTTCCTGGGTAGACACAACTCATGTACATCTACTCACCCCAAAAGAGAACCCCCAGCAAACGAGAGTAACAATTTCACTGAAGTCCAACTTTGTGAACCAATGAGCTTTTATTGGGGTTTCTGCAGGAGTGTAGGTGAAGGGTCACTTCCGGGAGTAGGGATGACTCAAAGCAGCTGCATCACCGAGAAGCCCACCCCACCCCATGTGACGACTCGCAGGAGCTTCACAGGCCTGAGAGGACTCTGGCAGCATGATTGGTCAGTCTCCTCCCCAGCAGCTGTCACTGCTTCTGTAACTCTGGAGAGGGGCCCTCTCGAATCACCCAAGACACAGCTTGTCCCGATGTGAAGTCTGTTCACCTCCAGAGTTTCGCGAGCCCCTTTCCTCCCTTCTAGAGGGAATGTTTCGATCAGAGGGAACTGCTATATAGTACACTCACAGGTGGCTAGATCCACACACCACACACACAAGCAGCACGCAGCCACACACACACACCCAACCACAGCACAGTAAACTCCAGCAGGAGGCACAGGCGGCGTTCACAGTAATGGTTCCTAGGCCACCACTGGCCACAGATGAGGCCTCAGCAGCTCAGGAATCCTCTCCATCATGCAGATTCGCCACAGCAACCCCATTAGCCCAGACTTCCTCCTCATCAGTCGGGGAGGGATTGCTGCTCTCTGGGGGTGGATTGATTTATCCAACTAATTAGTTCCAATTAATATTAATACACATTCTCAGCAACTGCGGCAGCTCAGGCAGAGAAGTTGCCCATTGGGACCATCCATCACCAAGCAGGGGACAGCAGAGGACACTCCGGATCTTCAGCACATAGGACCCCACACCTCTGACATTATCCCCAACCTCTATCCCTCGGGATTCCAGAGGGAGTGTATTACCAAAATCAGAGACTCCACACTGGGGAACCCAAAGCCCAGAGAAGGGCTGTCACATGCCCCAGACTACACAGCAGATCCAAGGCTATATCTCCTTTCCATACACTTCTCTCCGCTACCCTAGGAGGGTCTGTGATATACCCAGAGCCCAAGTACTTCATCTGCTGATCCCAACCAGCCAAAGCTGCAATGGCTGTCTGAATGCTCTGAAGTTTCTATCAGATGCTCAGCAAACATTTTCAGAATGGAGTGGGGTGGACACAGACAGATGTGTTGACTAGGTTATTGTCTCAGTGGAGATGGAGGACAGGACCACCTAGGAGATGGACAGACTCCTCATGTCTATCCACAACCCCCCAAGGGAGATGACCCAAGAAAGTGAGGATTGAGGCAGGCGGTTAGGATCCTGGGGATCCAGCCTATTTGCTGGGTCTCCCAGTAGAGAAAGGGGCTATGGGTGAGGATGGGAAGAGAGGAGAAGCAGGAAGCTATGAGAGCTAGAGGGACAGAGGGGACTTGCGTTAGGAACCCCATTGTTCTTGATGTTTCAATACAGTCTGTTTTGGGGATAGGCACTGCCACCCGTAAGCGAGTCAGTGTGGCTACTGGTCACTGTGACCAAGGGAATGGTGACTACCTCAACACCAGAAGTCAGGAGATGCAAGAGTCAAGTTTGTGGATGACACTGTTGGGTCTGAGCCCTCAAGTCACTCAGAAACAGATGCCAAATCACCTTCACAGCACCTCCAGCGCTTGCCCTGCTCCAGCCTTCTGCCTTTTTATCCACTTTAAAGGCTGTCTGCTGATGCCCTCGGGTCCCTCTTTAAGGCCATGTCAGCTGCACCACACCCCCGGGCACCTGGACCTTGTTATTTCATCTTTCCTTGGGCTGTAAGCCCCCATTGCATGCCAACCTTATTTATTCACACTTATCATCAGCAGAAATTGTTTTATTTATGTACTTATTTGCATGCCCCCTCCCTAGGAAATGAGTTCCTTAAAAGCCAGGACCTCCTCAGCCTTTTGCAGAGTGTCTGGTACACAGTAGGCACTCAATGATAATTCAAGGATGGCAGGTGTTCTCCATCCCTACCTTCACCTGTCCTCATCCCCTGTTACATCAGCAGCATTTAGGTTGACTCCACCATTCTTGTAACACTCAGTCCTTGGCTCCTGTGACAATGCACTTTTCAGCTCGGATGTCACTTCACAAAGGAAGTAAGTACTCCCTGACACACCTGCTCACCACACACACACACTGCAGGCCAGAGCTGGCACTTGCTTGATGTCATCATCCCCAGGACTTCTGCTTCATAGCATTTCGGACACACTGTGTAGTCACACAGTTGCTGGTAGACTGAAAGACCATTCAAGCAGGGGCTGTTTCTGTTTGATTACCCTAAGCATACTGTGGGAGGAATCCAATGTGTTTACGGGATGAATGGAAGGAGGAGGGGAGGGGCTGGGGGTTGGTGGAAGTTGATACACGCAGCTCTCTAGACCAAAAGAAAGCTCTAGGTTGAACAGAGACAAGGAAATATTCGTCCTTGTGGTCATGAATCAAAGTGAAGAAAATACATTAGATAAAGGTAGAAGGTCAGGGTCAAACTGGGAAGTTCCCTATAATGAATGAGAGAAGGAAGTAATCAAGAGATGCCCAAACGGATCCCCTCGTAACAAGTGTGTGCCATCCTCCAACAGGCCTTCATTGACCATCCACTAAGTACTAGGCACCATGGTGGGTCCTGGGCATACACGGATAAACCTTACAAAGCCCGGACCAAAAGTGGTCTCATTCACTTAAGGTATCCTAGGTCACCACTCCAACCTATATGTCGGAGACTTTGGAAGCCTGACCAAGACTAGCAAGCTAACAAAACACAGACCAGAGACAGATTGGGCGGGGAAGCTCATGACTTGATTACATGGCTATCTCTAAGGGGTTCCCTGGCAGGTGTCCAGAGTGACATGCCCCTTCCTTGGTCCAGTGTTCAAATCTGTGGATGTTATGGGAATTTCGTTTATGTTGTGGTCTGTTGTCCAACTGAATAGAGTATTTGGTTCAAGAGGTAGACTCAGGATGAGACAAAGCATGGCCCCCAGAGAAGAAGCTGTCGGGCCCTTTTGGAGCCAGGAGGAGAATGGTGGCAGATGTGTCACAACCGTGGTGATGGTCTCGGGTTCTTATATTTGTCCCTGAGTTTTATATTATAATAAACGGTAGAAGAAATCACATCATGTACATGCACAAGAAGATGGTTTGCAGAGGGGAAATGCCACAGATGACCCTAAAAAATGTCCCGTTTGTTGCAGAATATTTGTTTAACTATGTAAAGATGTGTTGCTGTTTTGCCTTGCCTGCCTAAGGCACCTGATTGGTCTAATAAAAAGCTGAATGGCCAATAGTGAAAGAAGAGGTATAGGCGGGACTTCCAGGCAGGAAGAGTAAGTAGGAGGAGGAATTTAGAGACATAGGAAGAAAGAAAAGACACCAGAGAGTCACTGGGTGGCGGGGATGGGTGGTAGGAGAAGGCAGCTGCCAGTTAGCCATGGAGGAAGCAGGAAAGTAGGACATACAGAATGAAAGAAAGGTACAAAGCCCAGAAGCAAAACATAGATGAATAGAAACTTGTTAAATTAAGTTAAAAGAGGTAGTGGGACAAGCCTAGGCTAAGGTCAAGCATTCATAATAAGTTTCCATGCCTTTATTTGGGAGCTGGTTGGTTCTCAAAGAAAATTCCAACTACACCCATTAGGCCTGGTGTGGTGGCGCACACCTTTAGTCTCAGCACTAGGGAGGCTGAGGCAGGTGGCTTTGTGAGTTGAAAGTCTACAGAGTGAGATCCTGGACAGCCAGGACTACGTAGAGACCCTGACTCAACAACAAACGATGTTCCCTTACTGGGACCCACGGCAGGTCCTCTAGTTGTAGCCTGAGCTCTACATCACAAACCTGCAGGACAGATCAAGGAAGGGGTCGAGGGCAATGACCAAAGCTCCTGCAGACATACAGCAACAGAGAAGCAAGTATAGGGACAACGCTTCCATCTTTGAGGAGATGGTGTCACTCAACACAGAGGCTGGGGTACCCAGAACAGTTTAATGACTGCACTGGTGGTACCCGGAACAGTTTAATGACTGCACTGGTGGTTGCAAAATGAGGAAAGTACATGAAGTTCAGAGTGGGACATGTGGGTCTCAGGTCTTCACTATACCTCCTCATTGGCCTTGGATGAATCGGTAACCTTCTCTACACTCCAGTTTCCACAGATTTTCATATGAGATAACGGAGTCTCACCTCCAGAGCCTAAGAGATGCTATTGTCCAAACACAACTTCTCCCTTCATTGAGAAACACCCTCTATAATTTAAGCTCTGTGAGGACAACAACCGAGTCTCTATCACCTGTCACTGGAGCCTCAACACGGCCCGGTGCCTGCCCTGTGCAGGGGCTCACTTTGTTTCTCTCCACTAATTGAGCACCTTCTGAGTTCCATTCACTCCAAGAACTCCATCACACACGAGCAGTACGGCTGCTTTCACAGAGACGACAAAGGCCTGTGTTTTCAGATGGTGATACTCTGATGGGGAAAGCTCAGAGACCTTAGAAAGCAACAGGATGAAGGGACCAGGACACTGAAGCTGAGTGCTCCGAGCAGAAGGAACTGATAACATAAAAGGTCCCAGATTAGAGATTAGTCACGTCCTTCTCTTTGTCTAGGCTTTGACCCTCAATCTGCCCTCCTTTCTGAACCTGTATAACCCCCCAAGACCCTTGCCACCCCTGAGAAAGAACTCAAGTTCCTCACCTGGCTACCCAAGTCTTCCTTAACCTGGTCTCATCTGCATCTCTGCTTCTCCCATGCACGTTCAACACGCCCGCCATGGCCAAACTCACCCTGGCCTTTGGGTATACTGCCCCTTCTCTCTGGGATGTTCTCATTCCTTTCTTTTTTAAAAAATAATTTACTTATTTGTATCTTATATGTGTTGGTGTTTTGCCTGATTGTATGCCTGTGTAAGGGTGTAGGATCCCCCTGAAACAGGAGCTAGACCGTTGTGAGCTGCCATGTGGGTGGTGGGAATTGAACCTGGGTCCTCTGGAAGAGCAGACAGTGCTCTTAACCGCTGAGCCATCTCTCCAGCCCCCGTGTTCTTATTTCTTAACTCAGCCTCTGAGAACTTTCTAGGCTCAATACAGGTCCAGTTCCTCCTCCTCCTCCTCCTCCTCCTCCTCCTCCTCCTCCTCCTCCTCCTCCTCTTCCTCCTCCAGGAAGACTTCCTTCCAGGCCTTGGTCAGCACTGGTAGCACTGACAGACTGCCTTGCTTATTCCTCCCCAGGCAACAATGCCAGCTGAGGGCCAGGTGCGCCCACTTGGCTCCCTGCCGTCCAACCCAGGTGCTTTCCCTGCTGCCCTGCGCTGTCTGTAGTAGCAGAAATGGAGTCCCCACCATTGAGGAGGGCTAGTGTCCTCAGGGAAGACCACCCACCACAGATGTCCACTACACCATCAGGACAGAATGGGAGGAAAGATCCCACACTCTCTGGGGCCCAGAGGAGGACAGAAGGCTTCCTGGGGGAAAAAGGGGGGGAGGGGTACATGCTGGGCTTCCAAGGACTAAGAAGCGCATGTCGGCAGAGATGGAGTGAGCGAAGGAGAAAAGAGGCAGTGTCCATCAAAGCTGGGCTGAACCCAAACAAAAAAAGGAAGGGAAGGAGGTAAGTGACGAGAACACACCCCTGTGTCCAAGCTGTGGGTGATGGTACCAGGGAGGTTTTGGAGCAGGAGAGTGACATGAATTGCAGCTGGCTCTAGAGGTTCCGGCCAGCCCTCTCAGCGGGCTCTGGTTCCCAATACCCTAATAGAAACACCTAGAAAATACATAACACATTGCTTCTTCGCTGTTGACGAGCCCAGGCCATTCCTGCTGGCTGCCACATGAAGTAGGGGGATCAGGATGGAAAACGAACCAGAGAGGGGAGCAAGGTCCAGACTTTGTGTGTGTAGAGGGAGTGGTGGGGGGTGGGGGGGGGTGGGAGGAGGTGGGTGGGTGTCCTGTGCTTCTGCAGGGGTCCAGGGGAGGACAGGTGGACACCTCTTCCCTGCGCTCGGCATTTCCTCACAGGCGACAGAGCTCATAGGCCTTCGGTCCTCCAGAGCTGGGCAGGTGAATGACCCTCAGGACGGCCGCTTTTCAGGGGTCATCAGCTGTTCCACCTCCCGCATGAACCGCAGACACATCTCCTCCTGCCAGGGCAGAGCCACACACTGCACGGCCACAGGCAGGCCTACACTCTTCTTCATGGCCTACAGGGGACACAGACATCAGGACGGGAGAAATGGGACCAGACCCCAGTTCCAGGAAACATGTACCCCGCGGGGAAGGGCACGCAGCAGACTTGGAGCTTATTCTGAGGAAGGCTGCCAAAGCCTGCCAGTGCTAGGGCTCTGTCCTCTACAGCAGCTGGGTCTGGGCAGCAGAGAGCTAGGAGATGGGCAGGCTTTACCTTCTTCAGTATATGGTCCCAGATATCCCCAAAGTAGCCTCTGTAGTGTTCCATCTGGGCGTCGTCCTCAGCGGTCACAGTGGTGACGGGCACCACCCCCGCAGGGAAGTCCAGGCAGTTGTAGAGCACAGTGTAGCTGATAGCCCCTAGAACACAACACACCGGCTGCAGCGAGCCCTGACACCCGCAGTGCCAACTGGCCTCTCTGGGCCCAAGTTACCCTCATCCCACACATAAAATGGCACTCTGCTTCTACAGCTAGGCAAAATCCCTCTCCCCGGCCTGAGGCCTGCGGCAAAGCACAGGAGCCAGCGAGACTCGCCGATGCGTGCTTTGTGCCTTTTTCCATGTAGCTTTCCCAACCTGGAACGCTGTCCCTATTTCCTTGGCTTATCTAAAAATCACCTTGATTCAAACACCACCTCCCCAAACTGCAGGCTCTGCAGGGAGACCTCCTATGGGAGTAGTGTTCAGAACAGACAACTCATCCCCTCCCAGCACTCCACGTGTCTTTCACCTCTGTAGCCGACCAGACAGTGAGGCCCAAGTGAGGAGCAAGACGCTCCTCCACGGACGGGGTATTCCCCCAGAACTCTCCCTCTTCCACACCACAGCGCACAGGGCTGAACTCAGAGGAGGAAATGAGGAAATGAGGGACAGCAGGCCTCACCTGTGGCTCTGCCCGATGCATTCAGATCCAGAGCAGGGCCCAGCATGGGGGTCAGCAGCACATCCAAGTTCATAGCTTTCCACTGGGCAATCACAGAATTTCGGTACACCTGGAGGGACACGGACACACTGGGGGAGGCACTCAGGTAGATCCAAGGCACCCCAGGATGTCCAGTGGACCCTGAGGTGGCTCTGGTCCTCACACTTAGATCTGAGCTGAGCCACCGTGAGACGGGAAGGGCTGCCTCTTGATGGTATTGCTTCCACCATGGACAGAATATTTTCTGCTAAAATGGAGCCACTCACTAACAAGAATAGTCCTAGAGGAATAAAGAAGAGCTCAGGACAGAAGACCGGTGCTGACCCAGCCTCCAGGACAGACGCTGGGCAAACGAACATCACAGAAGGGCCCAAGCCACAGTCCCTAGAGAGGAAAGAGTGGCAGGCCACTCCAGGGCCACAGTGGGAAGAGCTGCCAGGAAAGCTTGCCGGTAGATGCCCTGAGCAATTGCACCCTCCTCCCCCTGCTCCCCAGGGCTCAGACCTTACCTCAATCTCATGCTGCAGTTCCCACAGCTTTCCAGCCGACCTGGGCAGACAGAGGGAGGTCACCAGCCATCACAGCCATAGCCATCAACAACATCATACACCCTACTCTCACCACGTCTAGATCTCACTCAACCCCAAGGGATCTCTGAGAGGGGAAATCAAGGCCCTGCTGTCCAGACAGAAACATCCAGGATCTCACAGGACTCCAGCTGGATGGTTTAATGACTTCATATCCAAGCCAGCACTAGACCAGACCTCATTCCTAGTGACCCTTGAGCTACAAGAGAGGGCAGGGCTGTCAAAGGTCCTCAATACCTAGAGGTGAGAGGAGCAAGTGCACAGACGTCACGCCGGAAATGGGGTGGCTCATGTCCTACTTTTGAAGACGCAGCCACCAAGGGGCAGGCAGGACCAGGGCCAGGCCAGTTTAGTTCAGATTCCTAAAAGCCTTTTACCTGTTTCCCTGGTACCCACAATCCCCAGCACTCCCCAGCTCAGGCTAGCTCCTTTCTGGTCTCTTCCCCTATATTCCCTTCTATGTAGCCTGTCCTGCTCTGCACTCAGGCCCTTGTCCTCCTAAGGATCCAGGACCCTCCTCAGACATCTTCAGGGACCCCCCTGCTGGTCCTAAGCCGACCTCCCTCCCTGGACCACCTCAACCTTAGGAGCCATTTCTCCTGAGATTTTTCCTGTCAAAACCACCTAGATTCAGACCAGACCAGTCGGGGAAACACGGGGCAGGTGGCAGGGTACAGGAGAAGGTCTCACCGAGGCTGCATGCTGTTGAGAAAGGCTGCCATCCGAGGAAACTGTACCAGAACAGACATGGGGTCAGTGATTGGTCCCCCACGCCACCTCTTCCACGCCCTCCCACCTCCCAGGTCCAGCTTTGCTAAAGACTGAGGGAATGGGGGAAGAGACAATCAGGGAAGAAGAGAAGAGGCCATGCCTGTCTAAACCTGGAGGCCAGGGGAGGAAGGCAGAGCCAGAGACCATGAGCTATCACAGGATGGGGGCCCGGAGGCTGCCTCCTTGCATGCCTGGAACTCTCACCAGAGGCTTCAACAGGAAGCTCAGCAGTCTTTTAAACCACCTGGGTAGCTTCAGAATTAAGATCAGGTCCCCCAAGCAGGGATCCACAAAGTCACCTTTGCTGGAAGACAAAAGGCCTAGTTAAGGTGCTCCTCTCCCCGTCCCTGATGACTGCAAGCCCCTGTTGACTCAGTGGTCCTGCCCACCTCCTTCCTCACCCAACTCCTGTGGTACTGGTACCTAGTCTCTTGCTTGGCCTCTTTCCAAAGCACACTTTGCTTCTGCTGCTCATTGGGGGTACCTGGACTCTGTCCCACTCCTCGGAAGCCCTGAGGCCTGAGGAAAATATCTCCCTAGGCATTTTCCATTTAGCAATGATGCCAGCCTACATTTATGAATGGGGCTGAAGGATAGGATACCCGGGAAGCTTGTTTCTCATCTGGTTCAAGAGCTTGGAGAAATATTCTAGGAATGTCTCATTCTCAGAGCTGGATTGAGAGGTAGTACCTTCCACTGATACCTAGGCAATATTCAGCTGCTGGGAAATTGCTGGGGGGAGGGTGAGATGGCTTAGTAACATATGACAGGCTGGGCAGTTGGCTGAGCAAGGCTTCGGGGACCAAGCTGAGCGACATGAGACCAAGAAGCAGGTTTACTGCCTTGCCCAGCCTAGCTATGTCTCCAGGAGGCACCTTCTCGGGCCTCTGCAAACAGCTGGGAGGAACTGCTCTCTGGCAAGCCTCTTAACTGAGTCTGTGCCACACACCAACCTCAGAAAAAAAAAGAAAATTGAGGGTTGAAAAGAAAGAATTAGCTCAGGAAAGGCCCAACCCCCTTCCTTAACAAACAGCAAAGAAGCCCCTGACCACCTGCATCTCACAGGGAGCTTGGCTCAGAGGGGGCTATGGAGTCACCATCCAGCCTCCCATTACGCTGTCACCTTTCCACAGTCTCTCCAGTGACTTATCTCCAGGCTCAACTTGCATAACTAGAAGGACAGCAAGGTCACGGCCCAGGAAGCCCAGGTCTTCCATGTGTGCATCGAAGGCCTGTCCTGGACATGGTCACAGGGCCCAGCTGCCCTCCCTGGGTGTACACACGTTTTAAATTTACTTTATTATCTTATGTGTGTAAGTGTTTGCCTGCATGTATCTCTGTGCACTATGTGTGTGCCTGGTGCCTGCGGAGGCCCGGAAAGGGCATCAGGTCCCCTGGAACTAGAGATACAGACAGCAGTGAGCTGCCATGTGAGTGCTAGAAACTGAATTTGGATCATCTGGAAGAGCATCCAGTGCTCTGGACTGCTGAGCCCAGCCCCTCTGCACATTCTCCTGATTCCACCCTACATCCTGAAGCCCAAGAGCACTCACAAGTTCTGGAGGAAAGTGTGGCCACCGTCACTGAACAGCCCACCTGCAGACAGGACCTCCAGGGCGTAGGGGATGTTGTTTGGCAAGAAGGGAACCAGCTGCGGGGATTGAAGGGTATAAGGCCCACAGATACTATAGCCTTCGGGTCCCCTAACTCACATGCTGCCCCAGGGGCCCTGAGGATGATCTGTGCCACAAGGTTAGCCTTAGTTGACTCATGACTTCAGGAGAAGTCTGGAGCCACCCATGAAGCTGTCTCAGAATAATAAACCAAAGCCCACTGGCCCACAGTCTCAAGTCCCCGGGAGTCTCTAGAGAGGTGTGTATCACGGTCATGGTTATAAGGCATGCACTCAACGGTCACGGTTATGAGGCACGCACTCAAACAGCTCCCAGTGCAGGCTAAGTCCTCCGTCCACTACATGCCCCAGTCCTCCCACCTCAGTCTTTATACTGGTCTCACAGAGCCAGAATTCTCATCCCAAATGACTAAATAACAGGGAATGGAGGGGCCTGGGAGGGCTGTGGGTATCAGGAAGCCTCCCCTGGAGGAGAGGAGACGCCATACCGTGTGGCCAGCAGCCTCAAGGCTCCGCTTGGTCTCTAGCACCGCCCTCCTCATGGCTGGGCTAGGCCTGGTATAGTTGTCAGTTTCATAGTATCCCACCCGCAGGGGTCTAGAGCTTGTGTAGACCTAGAAGTAAACATTAGACATGAGGCGGAGGCAGGGGAGAACGGCCCATGCAGAATGCTTAGAGACAGAGACTACTCCCACGAGCTCTGTACATAAATACAGATAACCTCTGTGGTCCTCCTGAGTCCCTGCTTCTCTGCCAACTCACCAAAACTCCAAACCTCTCACCTAAAGCTCTTCCTCTTCCTGAATCCCCCTCCCTAATTATTAATCATGGTCCTGACCCAATCCTAGCCCAACTCCAGATCCACCTAGGTAGGCCCGATTCTGCCCTTGCCTCTCGGGCACTAAAGAGGCCGGCTCCCCAGCTTCAAGCTGTTCAGTCCTGTCTGATCAATGGCCTATCTTGGTCATATTTAGGAAGCTGACACTTCACACTGCTCTCAACTCATTCAGCCTACTTGCCATAAGGCCTATTTTCTGGGGAGATGGGCAGGAATACTGTAAGAAACGCTGCTACTTCCTAAGAGCAAATTCAACCCAGGTCCACAGTTTCTTTCTCAGCAGCATAGGCTAAAGCCTGAGAGGTCCCAAACGCAGGCACGGGCGCCACCTAGTGGCCATATGTGGAGTAGCAGCTGCCCCAGGCCTACCCTGCCACAGGGGACTGACTGATTTTCCAGAAGAACTTCCAGTCAACCCTGCCCACACCGCCTGGGTTCTAGAGTTCACTCCTCTTGTCCATTCCCATCCCCCCCTCCCCGCCACCTCACTCACCTCCTCTCTGAAGGGCAAGGGGGGGACAGTGGGGTCCAAGCGGAACAGGTCCTCACACAGTAGGGCTTTCAGGCATAATGCCAGGCTCTCCACATCCCGGGCCATGGGGCCAACAGAAAGCTGCACTGTAGGGAAGGGAAGGGAGGGAAAGGAAAAGGTGTCACTTGTTCCCCAATGAGCTGGGTCTGAGTGAGGATTGGTCTATGGCTCCAGAGTGAGAGCAAGAAAGCAAATTCAGACCCACAATGGCCTGACCACCAGATATTGTCCACAGGCAAAACAGGGCCAAGGCAGATCAAGAGGACCCCCCTCCCCACCCCCAGGACACCAAGAGTATATCAGACCTCACTCACCTGCCGTCTGTCCATAGACACAGCCCTTCAGGCCACTCTTGCTGGTCAGAGACACAAGATGTTGGAAACCAATGGTAACCACTCTATACTCAGCCCAAGCCCAGGCCCCAACTCTAAACCCCCAGCACTGGAAGCGAAGCCAAGCACAGCTGGTGATGTTTGTCCCCCTCCCACACCCTCACAGATAATGGCTAGTGAATCCCTCCTGGACCCCAGAGAGCGCAAAAGCTGAGCCAAGACCATGCTGGCGTCAGGAAGTCCAGGAGGCCCCTGGACCCACCATACCTGAGGCGATTCCCGGTAGGCTTGAGGCCACAGATGCCACAGAAAGCGGAAGGGAAACGGATGCTGCCTCCAATATCAGTGCCTAAGCCCAGCGGGGAGCCCCCAGATCCAATGAGAGCGCCCTCGCCCCCTGAGGATCCACCCGGGCTCTTGGAGGACTTCCAGGGGTTCAGAGTCTGGCCAAAGAGGGGGTTGCTGCAGTCAAAACTGGAGAGAGCAGGAAAAAGTTAGGCCAGGTCAGGTCAACAACTGCCCTCGGTCTACTCCCACCTCACCCACCTCCTAAGGACCAACCTTAACATGGACTGGGGGACATTGGTGTGCACAAAGGGCACAGCCCCCTGCAGCTTCAGCACCTGTACCATCACACTGTCACACTCCGATGGCACCCCCTCATTCAAACTCAAGCCCAGCGTGGAGTCTTGGCCCTTAGGGGAGAGACGGGTATGAAGATGACACCGTCAGTGAGGTAGGGACCCTCCGGCAGCTCACGGACACTCTCACCACCAGCACACTGGCCCGACCAAGCCTCCCGGGTCTCTGGACCTGAGACATCCTTTCAGGCCTCCAGAGCTGGAGACAGAGACAAAGGCAGCGTGGAAGGCTGACACCAGGCAGGGGGTACCTTGTAGCTGAAGCATTCCTTGAGGCTCACGGGGATGCCGTAGAGCAGGCCTTGTGGTGGGGCCTGGCACAGCTGAGTCTCACAGTCAGTCAGATAGGAGGTCACACAGTTGGTCCCCTTGTTCACTTCCCAGGCCTGGGGAGAGGGAAAGGGACACAAGGCAGAGGGAAGCCAGCACCTCTCTTTCTAAGATTTCCTCCCTTCTACATTTCATGTAACGGAAAGTAACCAGAAACACGGCTCAGGGGCAGTGGCACAGAGGACGACCTCCAGCCCAGCACCCACCCTGCTCGGGCTATGTGGCCCCAGCTTCACCAGCTTCACCCAGGCTCTCTTAGAGAATGAGACTCAGGGCCAGGTCAGGCAAGGGAGCAGGATGCTGTCCGCAGAGGCACTCAGAAGAGGATGAGCTAGAAGACCACTGGCCACTGCCCCCATATTTCCAAGTCCTATCTCTGCCCAGGGAGACAGACAGGGGCAGATCTCCACGTCAGGTCATGCTGGGAGTCAGCTGCACAGCTGGGCTAGACCAGACCCTGGCACTCCCTCCTCCGGCCTGTGCCTGGCTCACACTTGGCCAAGCTGAGCATCCCTTTTCCCTGGGACTCTTGAGTCACAGATGACTGACCTCAATAAAGAAATAAGAGTTGGACCCAAAGTAATGATAAACTGGCAGCAGACATCTAGAACTTTAAGTCCCAGGCCTAGGGCCCCAGAGGTACAGAAGGGGACACCTAGGCTGAACCTAGTGATCCCTCTTGCTCCTGGGAGACAGCTAGAGAAAAGAGGAAGTTGTATGGCCACCCTCAAAATTGCAGGCATCAGCCACCAGGCCACCCAAGGCAGGAAGGGAGGAGCCTGAGTCTCTGTGTCTTGGTCAGTGACACTGGCCTACTTTCTCCCACCCACTTGGCTCTAGTCCCTTCTAACACTATCATTACACACCTCACCCTGACATTGATACTCACCTACTCAGGGTCACGCTCATAGACACAATCACACTCAGAATACATCAGAATGTATAGTCTGTCTTACTCTTTTCTTACGTATATTCCCTGAGCACTTCTTAAGTGAAAGATAATGTATTTGGCACTAAGGCTTAACAGCAAATAAGACAGTTTCTGTCAGGGCTGGAGAGATGACTTCGTGGTAAGAGTACTTGCTGTGTTTCCAGAGGACCCTCGTTTGAGATCCAATACCTATGTCAGGAGGCTCCCAGCCACCTGTAACTCAAGTCCCATGGGATCCAATGCCTTCTTTTGGCCTCCAAGCGCATCAGCACACATGCACATACCCCCTCACACACACACACACACACACACCAATACACAGAATTTCTTTAAAGAAGTAAAGAACAATCCCTGTTCACAGGACCCATGGAGAGCGGGGTGGTGGTGGTGGTGGTGGTGGTGGTGGTGGTGGTGGTGGTGGTGGTGGTGAATCCTGCCTGTGAGTAGAGAGGGAGAGGGAGCACCCAGCAGGGCAGGGACAGGGGAGGTCTTGCTGGTCAGCATGGAACCAATGGCCTAGGAGGGACAAACAGAGAGAAAAAAAAATTCCAAGGAAAGGACACCAGTACAAAGGAAGGCAGACCCTGAGCTCAGTGTCTCCGGTCTCCCAGGGCCTGGGCTGCTGGGGATGAAGATCAGGACCTGAGGGGCACCTGCCTGGCGGTGGCTGTTGCTGCTGCTGCTGCTCACAGAGCGAAGAGGGTAGTGAAGAGCAAGGTGGTAAAGGTGGGTGGAGAACAGGGGAGAGAGAGGAGAGAGACAGAGGGGAACAGAACAGACTTGGTGACCAATGAGGTGAAGGCGGGAGAGCAGGGAATCTGGGCTGAGAGCCAGGTCTCTAGCTAAGACAACATGCTCAGTGTCCCCCCCCCCCCCCCCCCCACACACACCCTCTGGCTCCTTCCCTCCCTGGTAGTCCCTGGCACTGAGGTTCTACCATGATCCAGAGCAGGACAACTCCAGGCCAGGTTTTCCCCACAGCCTGTGCAGAGAAGGTAGGGACTAGCCTCGGCTTGCTTACCTTTCCTAAGTAGGTGAAGAGTACCACCTCCGGGGACAGCTCCCCACTGTGTAACTTCTGTACTAGTTGAGGCAGGGGCAGGGCTAGCAGCGCCTCTGAGTCCAAATCAGGGTTCTGTGGATAATGCACTCCATCAGCCTTGCACATGTGTGTGGTGGTATTGTGTTCCCCGAAATATTGTGCACGCTAATAAACTTATCTGGGATCAGAGAACAGAACCACTGCAATATTAAACATAGAGGATAGACAGTGGTAGCACACGCCTTTAATCCTAGCATTCCAGAGGCAGAAATCTGACTGCATCTCTGAGTTCAAGGCCACACTGGAAGCAGCTAAGCATGGTGACTCACACGCCTTTAATCCCAGGAAGTGAGCCTTTATTCCCCGGGAGTGATGCAGAAAGCAGAAAGGTATATAAGGCATGAAGATCAGAAACTAGAAGCTTTTGACTGGTTAAGCATTGAGGCTTTCGAGAAGCAGTTCAGCTGAGATTCATTTGGAGGACTCAGAGGCTTCCAGTCTGAGGAAACAGGATCAGCTGAGGAACTGGCGAGGTGAGGTAGCTGTGGCTTGTTCTGCTTCTCTGATCTTCCAGCATTCAACCCAATACCTGGCTTCAGGTTTGATTTTATTAATAAGACCTGTTAAGATTCCTGCTACACATGTGACTTTTGCCCCTCGGTCCTCACAGTTCACAGGCTGATGCATCCCCATAGAAGGTACCACCTGCAGCCCTGACACCAGAAACCAGATCCAACCTAGGTGGGCTTTTGGCACCCCAGACCATTGCAAATGTAACCTCCGGAAGTCTTCTGGATAGGAAATGGTGAGGGACGGCCATTACCCAGACGGATTATTACACCATTAAGACTAGCAGCCAGTACACCTGCCTACCGCCTGCCATGCACAGTGCTGATTGTGTTTTATTTGCTTGGGTCCCCACCCCCACTCACATGGTTATTTATTTTTCATTTTCTTCTATTTCTGACAGTTTCTTACTATTATATAATGCATTGTGATCATATCCCCATGTCCCATTACCTTCTCTTACTCCCCCCCACACATGCCTGTTGACCTTCTTTCCAACTAGCCCTGTTCCTACTTTCTTCATGGTATTTTCATTTGGATTGTTGTTGTGTGTGTCCAAATCATGTTCTGATTGTAACAGCCCTATCATACTATGCAGAAGACTGCATCTCATGTTCTGATTGTAACAGCCCTAGCATACATATCCAGAAGACTGCATCTCATGTTCTGATTGTAACAGCCCTATCATACATATCCAGAAGACAGCATTTACAGTGTTCCTCCCCATCCTTAGGGTTTTTGTTTTGTTTGAGACAGGTTCTCACTATGTAGACTAGGAAAGCCTCAAATTCAGAGATCTGCCTGCCTCTCCCAAGGGCTAGGATTAAAGATTTGTGCCACCACACCTGGTTGTATTTGTTTTTTGAGAGGTCTCAGTTATTTTGACCAGGTTAGCCTTGAACTTTCAAGATCTCCCCACCCATCCACCCATCCCAAGAAGATGAGATCACAGGCTTTTGGTTTGGTTTGGTTTTGATTTTGGGTTTTGGTTTTCAAGACAGGGTTTCTCTGTGTAGCCCTGGCTGTCCTGGAACTTGCTTTGTAGACCAGGCTGGCCTAGAATGAAGAGATCTGCCTGTCTCTTCCTCCTGAGTGCTGGGAGTAAAGGTGTGCACCATTACTATTGGCTGGATTACAGGCTTTTCAACACCAAGTCTATGACCCTCCATGTCTTGATTAACTTACTACTATCCCCATTCCACAGATTTAGAAACTGAAGCTAAGAGAAAGGAAGTGCTTTGTTTAAGAGCAGAAATGTAAGAGTGGGGCTAGAGAGATGGCTCAGTGGTGAAGAGTACTTGCCCTTGCGGAGGACCTGGGATTGGTTTACATGATGGCTCACAACCATCTGTAACTCCAGTTCTAGGAGATCTGATGCTCTCTTTTGACCTCTGGAGGTAGCGGGTATGCATGTGGTGCACATACACACATGCAGGCAAAACACTCATAGACATAAAAATGAAATAAATCTTGAAAGGAAGGAAGGAAGGAAGGGAGAAAAGGAGGAAAAGAGAGAAGGGTAGGTAGGCAGGTAGGTAGGCAGGTAGGTAGGCAGGCAGGCAGGTAGGTAGGTAGGTAGGTAGTGATGCCCTACCCACCTAGCATAGACCATCCACTGCACACAAGCCCTGGCAGCGGAAGTGCAACCACAAAAGCCCCATTAAGATGCTAAGTTTGTGGCTGAAGACCACATCCAAAGGGGGATGATTGACACACTCATTTCCAGACAGGCATGAAGTGCCTGCTCTGAACCTGGCCCTGCAGCAGGAAATGAAAAGCTATGCCCACGTGAGCTTACATGAGACAGGGATGGAGCTGAGAACTAACAGGTAAATGTGCTGCTTAGTTTTGTCACGTTGACACAAGCTGAAGTCATCTAAGAAGAGGGGGCCTCAGTGCCTCCATCAGATTAGCTTGTGGGCATGTCTGTGGGGCATTTTCTTAATTAATGGTTGTGGGCAGTGCCACCCCCTGGACATCGGTCTTCGGAAAGCTAGCCAAGCAAGCCGTGGAGAGCACACTAGTACACAGTGTTCCCCCAAGACCTCTGCTTCAGTTCTTGCCTGGAATCCCTGCCTTGGCTTCCCTCAATGATGGACTGTAACTTGTAAGTTGGAATTAGCCCTCCCACTTACTTTTGGTCATAGCGCTTATCACAGCAACAGACAATAAGCTAAGACACAATCAGATGTGAATTATCAATAGTGAGGGTTCGAAAAAATAAAACAGGGTGTGGTGGAGAGTGGCACCTGGGTTGGGGGGGGGAGGTGGCGAATTAGTCTCTGAGGGAAGAGGGCCCTAAGGCACGCCCACCTGCCAGAACACCAAGGCTCCAGGTCCCTGGGGTCAGCTCTACCTGCAAACTCCCTCCTGGGTCCTCCTCAAGAGTATTAGACCAATTAGCGAACACTGAATCACCACCCCATTGCTCTGTTCCTGCAAAGGTCACCAGAGAATCTCTTGTTACCAGATCCACCAAATATCTTCCTCCATGCCTCACTGAGGTCTTCAGAGGTGTTAGACCACATGCCACTCTTCAGTTTCTCATGGATAGAAATACTACACCCCGAGGGTCCCCCGTTACCATCTCTCCGATGTGCTCTCTGCTATTCATTCAGTCAGTCAGCAAACAGGGGCAAAGGACTACATGAGAGGCCATGCATCCAGAAGTAAACAAGAAGGCAAGGTCCCTGCATTCAGAAAATCAACATCTAAGCAAGCAAGCAGGACACCGGTAGACAGCTTGTGGTAAGGCGAGACGGCGGATAAATGGTCTTGGTGGAAATGAGGATGCTGTGGATGGTCTACCTGGTGAGGTGACATTTTAGCCATGATCTGAAGCGTGGCGAGGGGAGAGACACAGCCTCCTCCAGGTTCCTCTAGTACTTGTCTTCACTCTCTGGGACCAGAGAAGGCTTGCCCTCCTGGCTTCCACTCCCATCTGTTCCGCCTGATCCTCCACCACGCTCCACATAAGGCAGCGCACAGCGGTTCATGGGGTGAGTCCTGTCCTTCCTTCTGCAGTCACTCTCTCCCACGCTTTCAATTTGGCTCCATCTCAGGATGCCCCAAGACCTTCAGCCCGGCAAGTGCACATCTATGTTCGGGTAACTAGTGAACTCATCCGGGTTCCTTACTCTTTCTCTCCATGGCATCCAATCAGTCATCAAGCCCTTTAAACAGCTCTGGAAATTGGCTCTATTCCTCCCCTCTACCAGGCCCCTCATCCAGCATCATCCATTCCTCCCCAAACTACCACCCTACAAAGCCCTTGCCTCTGTGACCCATCCTTCCTGCTAAGTCTATACAAGGGCAAAGCCCAACCTGGCCTTTCCTGTGGTGATGTATTGTTTGTAATCTAGGAAATAAAGCTTGCCTGAAGATCAGAGGACAGAGCCAGCCACAGAGTTAGCCACAGAGGCCAGGCAGTGGTGGCACACACCTTTAATCCTAGCACTCGGGAGGCAGAGGCAGAGATCCGTCTGGATTTCTGTGAGTTCAAGGCCACACTGGGCTACACGAGATTAATCCAGTCTAAAAGAGAAACAGCCAGGCAGTGGTGGCACACACCTTTGATTCCTGCACTTGGGATCAAACACCTTTAATCCCAGCACTAGGAAGGTTCAGACAGGAAGTGCTATGGCTGGGCAGAGCAAGGAATAAAAGGTGAGAGGAGACAGGAACTCTCGCAGGCTGAGGAGTTGGTGAGGTAGGAGGTGGCAGCTGCGGCTTGCTCTGCTTCTCTGATCTTTCAGCTTTCACCCTGATATCTGGCTCCGGGTTTTTATTTTAAGACCATTTAGGGCCGGGCAGTGGTGGAGCATGACTTTAATCCCAGCACTCGGGAGGCCCAGCCAGGAGGATCTCTGTGAGTTCGAGGCCAGCCTGGTCTACAGAGCGAGCTCCAGGACAGGCACCAAAACTACACAGAGAAACCCTATCTCGAAGAAAAAAAAAAGAAGAAGAAGACCATTTAGGATTTGTGCAACACTTTCCCCTTGAAATGTCTACACAGCATTACACAGAGTCAGAGTGTGCTCCTGAAGGCGCTTCCAGCCATGATCTTATCAGAAGACCTTTGGACCATCACTCCCTGGCACCCCCATATACCCAGAACACAGCCCGGCCCCACAACTGAAAACCTTACATTCTTTTTTTTATTTTTTATTTTTTTTAATTATGTATATAGTGTTCTGCCTGCATGTATGCCTGCAGGCCAAAAGAGGGCACCAGATCTCATTACAGGTGGTTGAGAGCCACCATGTGGTTGCTGGGAATTGAACTCAGGACCTTTGGAAGAGTAGCCAGTGCCCTTAATCACTGAGCCATCTCTCCAGGCCCCGAAACCTTACATTCTTAATGCCAGGAGGACATCCCCAAATTTGTTAGATGATATAACACTTACTTGGGGTTTTTATTCTTTTAATACAAGTTACACAGAAGAAAAACATGGATCATAGATCTCTTTCTAATATATCGGATAACTCTAATTAATATTATATATATATTAATCTTGAAAGTATCTA